TTTGTTGTGATTTGGCGCTATATAAATAAAATTGAATTGAATTGAATTGAATTGAATCCATTATTTAGTTGTTGCACCTTCTGCTTTATTTCTAAAAGAGTTAGCCTTCCCTGTGATTTGTTTTTAGTGTTTGCTTCCCTTGTCTCGTCTTCTGTATATATAGTTGCTGTCTCCCCTTGTTCTTTAGGTCAGTGCGTCTGTTCCCTTTTACCTGGTATTTTCTAATTTTAGTGAGTCTCCAAGTTTTAGGTGTCCCTTTTTGTGTTGCTCGCCATCAGCCAAAATAAACAGCTTGTTTTCAGTTCAATGCTGTCAGTTTTCATGCTTCTGCTTTTGGATCCTCAGAGTGGTCAGTTGGATCTACTGACCTTAGAAGGTGAACCTTTGGGATTAGTTGTTCAGCTTCCAGGCCTCTCTTATGTGGATCCAGCTCTCACTTTGGATTTGGGAGAGAGACATCCTCTCTACTTTTAAATTTAGCCTTAAAACTTTCCTTTTTGATAAAGGACTGGATCAGGTGACCCTGAATTCTCCCTTAGTTACAGGCCTAGGCTGCTGGGAGATTCCCACATTGCACTGTTTGTTCTTCACTCACCTTTTTCTACTTTCTATGTTTTTACACACCAATCTGCATCTAATTATTAGTCATTATTAATCCCAGACTCTTTTCCATAGCGCGTCTTGTTCTATCTTCCACCCCTCACCTCATATGATTGTTGGGGTTTTCTGTTTTCTATGTATTAAATTAAATTAAATATGTTAATATGAAGACGAACTCCCAGTCTAGTGCTTTCAGCGATGACAGTTGTGAGAGTGGGTGTCTTGTTTTTATTTAAAGAAGATTTCTCAGTGTCTGATCTACACGATGCATTTTTGTGAAAGTGAATCATGGCATGAACAAAGGTTGTTTCTGAGTTGCTGATCTTCACCATAAAGCAGCGGTCCCCCACCCCCGGGCCACGGGCCGGTGCCGGTCCGTGTGTCGTTTGGTACCGGGCCGCGAGAGCTGAAGCTCGGGTGTGAAGTTTAGCGGTTTTAAGGGGTTTTATTCTTAACTCGGTTTCCCTGGGTCTTTTCCTGTGTTTTAGTTGTGTGTCCTATTTTGAAAGAAATATTTATGCGTTACCATAGTGACCAGAGAGCATCAAGGGGCAGGGAGGAGGATGTTGGCACATTTAAAGAGTACGCTGCCAATAAAGTTACACAATTACACAATGAATTCGCGTTTATTATTATATTTACAAAATACGCAGTTTTTGTCTTGGTCGTATCATTTTATTTTTTTGTATTTATCCGCGACACCTTAAAGGCCTGTCTGTGAAAATATTGTCTGAAATTAAACTGGCCCGTGGCGCAAAAAAGGTTGGGGACCGCTGCCGTAAAGGGTTATAGAAGGACTTGGGTCACTTAAGACTTACCCAATCCAGAGGAAAGTGAAGTATGTTGACTTTTCTGTGGTCATTTTTTGAAATTTAGGAATTTTACCTTTGAGGGAGGGAAGTATGTTAAACTCTGGGATGAGCAGATTTATCTGGGTTTAATCTTCACAGCACGTTTTGGTCAGAAGTGCATCATGGCACAAAAACACAAGACTCCTGAAAACTTCACACTTCAGCATTTTTGATTCTCATCAGGCTGGAAAAGGTCACAAGATTAACACATTTGGACTACACCAATATACAGTCAGGTTGCATAGATAATAGAGGAAGTTTTTTCAAACTTCCTTGTCAACCACTTCCCAAGAAAGACTAGGGAGTCAACCACTCCTGGGGAGTCAACTAATACCCAGGATTTTTTTTGGGTAAGTGGTTGACCAAGAAAGTTCACTCAAACAGTACACTGTGTTACAGTTCAGGAGGTCACAAACATTCATTACCAACATCAGGCCATTTGGAAATATAGCAACAATTTCATAACAAAAATGTCAGCACAATATAATGTGAAGAGGAAGCGAGTGAACACCCTACATGACACATGTTGTTTTTCTACCAAGGACAGGTCAAATAGTCACAGTCAGGTTAATGTTTTGGATTGACCCAGTCATTTGGTTCACCTTAATCCATGAAATGTTGGTGATGAACCTGATGCATAGTTCATATGAAGAATCCCACCAACGTACGCAGGAACAGAGTCAGTTTCTCCAAGAGGTCATCTGCCTGTGCAGTTCAATAAAGATCAAGTCAGAAGACTGTTAGAACAATGTCTTGTGAAGGGATGAGAGCAAAATCTGACTTTTAACTTCAAATGAGTTTAGAGAAAGGAAAGCATTGCATTCCAGCATTATGGTGCCAGGTTAGTCTGGATGTCTTACTGTTATTGATGGAACAATAAATCCTGCATTCCACCAGAAATGTAATTTTAAAAAATCACATCATCTGTCATTTCAGCATAGACCAGAGACACACCTCAATGCTTCACCCTGCACCTTCATGGTGGTCATAAAAGTAGCTCCAACTGAACCTACAGGCGCTTCTGCTTTAGAAACAAATGCGTAAAATCCATTACACAGAATCTTGTTTTGGTTTTTTGGGTTTTTTTTTAAAGGCCAAGTCAACATCCTGAACTTCCAATTCAAATGTTGGGGAAGGATCTGAAAGCGACCAGTTCATATGAGGAAACTGAGCCCAGAGTTACACCTAAATGTGTAATTGCAGAAACACATGAACAAGAGGAGCCTATAGAGAGTTTGCAGCGCTAATCTCGGAAAAGCAAAATGTGTCTGATTGCAAAAGCTCCCTGACAAGACAGGGTGAAAAAAAGAAAAAAATATCATTTTAATTATGTTTGCAAATGCAAAAATAAAGCAAAGGTTCCCCTATGTTCTTTACTTGCACATATGCATTACTCATTTCCTCAAACAAAGATGATCACGTTTGTATGTTTATCTATTTAGGTTTAATAAGTTTATCTTTTATCTTCGGGAGGGGGGGTTGTAAGCTAAGAGTGGAAATTGAGAAAAATAATTCAAAGCAATTCACAGACTTTGGGGCACTGTATGTGTTTAAAAGTTCTCGTACTGGTACTTTGAACGTGATTGATTTTTATTTGAGCTTTAGCGCAATGTTTGTTTGAGACAAATAAAAATGTCAAAATAAATCAGACAATGAGGTCTCTCCTCTTTGGCGAGGAATTTAATTTAAAGGCACGGTTGCTTATTTGTTATTGTTTGTGTGCACAGTTGGCTGTGTTTAACTTTTGCCATTTACAGCAAATTAAGTCATTTATTTACTCCGCCTCTTCTAGGAAGTCATCACTACCCCTGGACATTGATCAGTCAGAGTCTTATAAAAGGCCCGCTGACTGCTGCTGACAGCAGAGGAAGGTTTTGGAAGAAAAAAACATGGCTGGTGGTTCTCAATTCATTTGGATTGCGCTCCTCTTCACCTGTGTACTCTGCACTTCTGATCCCAGAGCTGGTAGGGGGAAATAATATCGTCCTTTTTATTGTCAGTTAATAGGGGTTGAATTAAACAAATACCTGTAACAACAACAACAACAACAAAAAAGTAAATATTTATGTTTTCTCATTTATTTCAGGCCACAACAGTTTGGTCAGAACTGGGAATCCCGACTTGGACGCAATCATTTCCAGGATCATAGTAAGTCCCAGAAAATGTGACTTAGCAAATGTTTAGAGATGAGCAGAAGTTTGGCTGCTACTACTAATGATACATTTCTTCTTGTTCTTCTTCTTAGCTATCCACTGACTTTCAAAACAGTCCTGTAAATGTGACGGTAAGTAGTAATCATTAAATAGTTATTACATCATGTGATTTATCTCTATAAATGTTGTGATCAATAAAGGTTTTAGTGTATCTATATTTGTATCTCCCACTGAGCATAAGATCTCTGGCTCTTTCAAAAAACAACTAAAAACACATCTTTTAAGAATTGCAGTTTGTTAACTGTCGTCTGTTTTGTTTTATGCTTTGTTATCCTTGTGTGAAGCACTTTGTGATCTTTTATCTCAAAAGGTGCTATAGAAATAAAGTTTTACTTACTTACTTAGGGTATAAGAAACTTGTTATATTATCTTCAAATGATCTAAGATCAAATGTTTTATTACAGTCAATTGTCATCAAAACTTGCACCGGTAAGTGATTTTTATTTTATTTTTTTTACATCTATTTTATTTAACAATACACTACAATCCAAAAACACGTTCCCAGTAAGCTGCTTCTGCTCATCTGGAATGTTTTATTCATGCATCCAAGCGACGTCCAAATCACTCGGATAAGTGATGTAAAAATGTTTCCCACTGAATATGCTGCATCCACATGAACAGAACCAAGTTTCTGGGATTTAATAACTGGATTATTGAGCGTGCATTACACAGATTCAAAATGTGATGCTAGTATTTATCTGAGCGAGTGTCTTAGTGTAGTCTCTACATTATTAGTCAGATAAATAAAGATTTGAAAAACTAAATCTAAAATCTTACATTTAAATGTTTACCTCCTGTCACATTTGACCTCTAACCCCAACTTTAAGGTCAATAGATTGAATTGATAATATTCCTATATAGAGCTCTTTAAAACTAGGTTTCTTACTACTGTTATTTCTATTGCTTTATATAGGCATGTAGGAAATGATATACAGTATGGGGATTTTTAACAGGTTATAACCATTTGAATACAAGTAAAATGTTCCCGAATACTTTTTTGAAAACAAAATCAACTCGTGTGCAAAAACTCTTTTCCACTTGATATTTATTTACTAAATATTTAAACAAATTTTACTGAAATGAATGTTGCACACATGCTATAGCCCCATAAATAAAAAATAATTATAAGTAACTACATAATAATTGTGTAAAACTAATTATAAACAAAATCATGTCGAGTATATTAAAATGGGTTTCAGCAGGGCGAATAACAAAAGGCTGCACTTTGCTCTTGTTTTTACTGCGCTACTAACTTCTTCAAGTACATTTAAAAAGTACAAAGAAATTAAATATATATAAAATACAATACAATACTATTCCCTTAAGAGTAAATACTGCACAGAGAGTGAGCTGCCTTGTCAGATGTCTTATTATTATTATTATTATTATTGTTATATTACCTCTGCAACCTTTAAGGATATTGGATGAACTTCTTAAATTTACATAAAAAAATAAGTGTTTGACTCAATCAATCAATACATACATATTTTAATACATTAAACATGTACTCACCTTCTGTTCAAATCTTCTGTTTGCAAAGCACAGCCAATCAGAAGAAATTAGTCTTAAAGAGACAGGAGGGGAGGAGCTGAAATGGCTAGTTTCAAACAGCGGATGAGCAGTGAGACTGTTTATCTTGCTGCTTTAATATGTGGCATTGCTAACAGTGGCAGGGTGGGGTTTGTGGCTCAGTTGCAGGGGAGGGGTGGAGCAGTGGGTTCAGGGTGCGGTGTCAGGGGAGGCTGACACACACCTGAGCTCCATCAGCTGATCATGTCTCCCCTATAAAAGATGGTGGGGTGTTGTGTGTGGGTGGCAGCTGGAAAGCTGCGACAGTGTTGGTGAAAAGTACCGAACAATTAAGGTGCAAGCTGTGTGTGTGGGTCCTCATTCGTGTCACCCTAACATTTCCTTATCAGGTGTGAAAGAAACTTTGGAGGTGTTACAAAGGAAACTTCAGCAGGCGAATCGCCGTTACAACCAACTCGGTGAGCATACATCCAGCGAAGAGTTTAAGTAGGCCTACTTTTGCTTTGGTTTGCTGCAACCTGTACACTTTCTTACAGATGACGAGGCCTTTGGGCTGAGGACGGAGGTCATACAGCTGAAAGTGGAACTTGCTGCATGCATGTCAACGGCATCGTCTACATCTGGCAGTAAGCCTTTCCTTGCACATATGTAACAGTTGGAGACAATTTATATCAGCAAAAGTTAAAATGCATGTGTGATTTCCTGACAGCGTACCAACCCAATCTGCAGCTCAAAATGAAGCAGATGCTGGAGAAGCTTGATGGTGACACACTTCTCCGTAAGTTTTTTGGAAATACAGTAAAATCTCTCGCACAGGTCACGATTTAGTATTATAATTTTAATCATATGACGCTGCACAGTTCGGCTTTTATGTAAAAGTGTTTTCTTTCTTTCAGTTTTTAAAACAATGACACTCACCAGGGAGGTGAGCACTTTGGAGGAGAAGATCAAGCTTGCTACTAATTCTAACAGACCTGCAGACGAAATCGCAGGTGAGCTATTTTATTGTTAGCATGATGTGCTTATCTTGCAGTACTGAGAAATGTTTGAATTTGCCTCCACTTGAGCGCTATTCTTCTGGTTGGAGCCACAGAAACTGAATGAAGATGTTTCATTTCTAAACTGGTTTCCTGCAGAGCTGCAGAAAGAGCTGGACGAGAATATGGGTGAACTAATGGATCAGATACGGGAAGCTCATGAAAGCCTTTCAAACGCAACTCTCAGTAAGTGTATTTTTGAACCACATTTGAGGATTGGAAGGTCAACCAAAGGCGCTGGTGTTGTGCAAAGCAGAAGGAAATGGCTCATTGATTTCTTTTTTTTTTCTCTTCTTTCAGTACTTCAGATAATCTCCCTGCAGAATCAGCTCTGGGCTTTACAAGAGGCAGAAACAAGAGGGGAAAACCCAAACTCTGAGAGTTCAAGTGTCATGACTCTGGGTAAACTGCCGGCTCTTTGATTTAACCAAAAAAACTGTTGCTTATTATGTGAAAATTGCTTGTCCACACTTCAGGCAGAAAAATTGACACACAGTTCATTTCATAGTTCAGTAACTACCATTCAGCACCATTCTTTGGTGGCTAATTTTTTAAACTTCATTTCACATTCTCTATTAGTGCTGCTAACAACAGCTTAGCATTTTGTCTAAATGAATTGCAATTAAAACGTAAAAGTTATTACCCTTTAAACGTCAGTTATTCATGACAAAGTGTTTGTCTTCATATAACATCAGACATGTTGTAAATAACAGAGTATATTCCAGTACAATAATAGTGAGAAAACCCCAACAATCAAATAACCCCTTATGAGCAAGCACTTGGCGATAGTGGGAAGGAAAAACTCCCTTTTAATAGAACCAGGCTCAGGGAGGGGCGGCCGTCTGCCGTGACCAGTTGGAGATGGGTCCATAGATTAATAATAACTCATCATTAAATGCAAAGTAGTGTATAAACACAAAGAATAAAAAAAAACATGAATGAAGCTAGGCCCATTGCAGTATAACAGCAGGAAGGTTCAGGCTAACATTTGTTAGACACCAAGAGGCCTCGGGTCCAGAGTTGAAGGTGAGCTTTATTTGGCCTTGTAGCAAGTGGTCACCCAGTCAACTAAACTAAACTAAAGCAGCAGCTGAAACTATGCTTTTTAATGCTGTAATGTAGCTACTTTAGCGAGTGGCACTGTGGTTAGTGGCTAATACATTTGCCCCCACGCAAAAGATCCAGGAGAGGATTTAAACCTCGCATTATGGGGTTACAGGTAGAGCATTTCTAGTACTAGCTCCAAGCTGAGATAAAGGGTTGTGTCTGGTATCTGTAGTAAATCGAACATATGATCTGGAGCTGATGGCTACCTCTTTGGAAAAAAAGATGCAGCAGAAGTGTCATCAATATGGCAATCTATGGGAGTCGGTTCATTTTTGAAGCCACAGCTCAAGCGTGACTTTTTTCCTGTGGTACCATTTTAGCTCCTCAACATGCATAGCTGTGCACTGTGATCTGCCACTTCCTTCTTTCTTGGTCACAGTCGGTTTCTGCATGAAGGTTGCAGAACACACTGTTATATGAAATCCATTTAATTTTTTGGTAACTTTTTGGTTGCTCAGGACAAAATGGAGCAAAGAAGTGATGGTTGCTAAAATTGATCTACTGCATGGCTGCATATTCTGTAAAAAAATAAAATAAAATCTTAAGGAATTTACAATAGGTGTTATAAAATATTTATTAATTATTTCGATTTCAGATTACTATAATGCTAAACTAGGAAAAAAGATCATCTTCTTTCATTTTATTATGTTATTATATTTCTGTATCCTGACCATTTTCTTCTGCTGCTCAGTGAAAGAACAGCTCAACAGGAGGATCGTTCTGCTGCAAGAAAAAGGAGATGGCTACTCTGCTAATTGTAAGTGAATCTTTCTAAACAGGCCTGCATTTCTTGTGTGAGTAATAATGTTAAAGGCTTATCTTTCAACATTTCCCAACACTTCGTTCTCTGCTGGCTGTCCAGTGCTGGAGCTGATTTATGTGCGCACGAAGATTGCAGAATTGAAGAGGATGATCATCGATGCTATTGAGAAATCCAAAACCTTCGCCGCTGGTGAGTTGTAGATCCCGTCTCTCCTTTGTGGAGCAGTACATGTTTATTCTTATACTTTATTTATTTATTTTTTTAAATTCAGATGCCAGGAAGCTATGGATGCAAAAGACTGATCTCCTCAGAAAGCTGATTATACAGCTGAAAGATGATGAGAACAACAGGGAACTAAGTAAGTGAGCATTCAGCGTCGAGCACGTCCTTTGTGTAGTTATTGCGCCATTAACTCGACACCCTCTTGATTCTTTCGACAGCCTTGCAAATTATGAGAGTGCAGGCCGAGGTGCTACATTTTGAACAGCTGATGAGAAACGCCAAAAACATCACCGATTCCCAAATTCAAGGTAAATGGCAGCACAAATCTTTGAAACTTTACACTACGAAGTCAAGTCACATATGTACTCGTCTTATTTGGAACGACCAAATTCTGATCTGCTAATTGCAGTAGAAAGATTAATAGCTGTTTATTCATCCTAGGGTTCCGCGTTTTGTTGGACAGAGAGAAGCAAAGGCATGACGTTTTACAGAAGCAACTGGAAGCAGTGGAGTATGTTAAGGCCCAGCAGAGTAAGTATAAAGGAGAGGCGGAATGATCACCTCACCAACCTCACCATGTATAAATGCGCTGCTAAGGCCCAACACTCAAGATGATGGTGTTTTCTTTGTCTTTGAGCAGTCATGCAAGTCATCAGCCTAATAGAAGAAATGAAAAAGCAGCACCTGACAGGCCAGCCCACCAGTAAGTCCACCTGCACTAACTTTAGTGTTAAATTCAGAAAACATTTAACATCATTTGTTTTCTGAGCAGTGAATACTTTCTTAATCCTTGACATTAAGATTGCGATCTTACATTATGATACTTTAAATCTGCAGCTGTGTTTGTAGGTACAGAAAAAAAATACATCGAAGCTCAGGCCAAAATAAGAGGTGAGTACTCGGTGTGTAGTTTGTTTTTGTCTGATAAGAGCTTCAAGTACCTGATTTTATCCTTTTATACAAAAGAGCTGCAGAGGAAACTGCGACTGAAGACTGAGATGGATTCCAAATTTGTGAAAAGATATGAGCGTAAGTTTTTAAACTGGCTTTCAGCTACAACCTCTGATTATTCCTGCTTGATTTTAAAGGATGTGTCTCGTTTCTGTTAGAGGTGAAGATCGACTTTGACCGCAAGATTGCTGAGCTGAACAGAACCGAGGACTTCCAACCAGCTCTCAGTGAGTCACGTTGCCGTACGCAGTGTTCAGCGGTGTCTCTCGCTCGGCTTGTAATCTTGTTGTGTTGAATTTGTAATCTGTGTAGTGATGTTTCTGTTGCTTTCTGCTCCAGTTATAAAGCTGATGAGCCTGCATGATGAACTCAAGGCTCTGAAGGATCAGATCTCTCTCTCAGAAGACAAAGACTTGACCTCCGGTGAGGGACAGAAGTCACAGATATATACCATACCTCTGTGTTTATTCTATTAATTAAGTGGATTTTTTTAAAAGCAATTTTTAAACAGTTTTGCGCTTGAGACAATTAAATTACATCTTTACATTTTCCTTGGGAAAACTGGGAATTTCTCTGATATTTTTAACATCTCTTAATAACCCATATTTCTGTCCAACAGAGCTACGGAGACAACTGGAGAGAAAACAAGAAGAACTGAGCTCAGGAATCGCAGACATAGAACGTCTGACTTCTAGCCCAGGAGCAAGTGAGCTTCTTGACTTTACTTTATGTGAACCAGAATTAGTGTTTGAACGCTAATCATTGTTTTTAAGCTAAACTCAAACTGACATACGCAGTTATGTACATAAAGTGCATATTAAAAAGGGACATAACATCCAGTTTTAAAGGGAAAACTAGTGTGGAAGAACCTTAAACTGCTTCCTTTCTAGTGGCCAGCAGAGTTAAGGATTGTAAAGTATAATAAATGTGAAGCAGCTAATAAATGGCTGAAATGCACGGCAACTTTCTGATCCTTGTTCTAGACAAATCCATCATTAGTCGCCCTGCTAGCTCCTTGTGCTTTCAGCTGTCGTGCTTTTAAATCACAGGCTCAAATTAAGTTTTACTTGCTAATGCACAACCAAGTCCTGCAGTGGTACTTCTGAGTAAAAAAAACTCATAAAATATGTATGTGGGGTAATCAGGTTAGTTTTTAACTGTTGCAAATCGGCAACGCCTGCCTCGAGAGGGTTAAATCACAGGCTAGTCAAACACAAACTGAATACAGATGAGACCTGGACTGTCACATATACGCTTTTATGGTTAAATCTAACTCAGGTCACATGTAAACCTGCAAAAACCAAGATTAAAGAAAATGAATTAACAGCAGAGTGAAAGAATAATGTTGAGAGAGGCTTTGCTTGATATGCTGGATGTTTTGGTGGTTTATGTTTTATCAATCATTAGTTCAAAAGAGTGTAAAGTAGAGACTTGTTGGAGTGGCACAGGGGGAGAAGGGAACCAATGAGATTCTGAGTTGCTTGTTGACATTTTTGCAGTAAGATTCCTTTTCTAACTTAAGGACTGCACGTTGCTTTGCTTTAGTTTTAAAGATCCTTGAACTGCAACATGAGTTATGGACCCTTCGGAACAAAGCCACCAATGGAACCACAAGCGATCGAGAAGAGGGTTAGTGTTGTTTAACTATTAAAAAAAAAAAAAAAAAAGTCAAGATGGAAACTGCAAAATATAATCTAAATACATACTTTCCTTTTCCTCAGAGTTACAGGACAGACTTGACGGCTTCATCGATGAAATCAACAACAGAGCCGGTGAAAACACAAAACTGAGTGAGTCTTGTGAGAAACTCTACAAACTCTCTGCAGTCGTATCTTTTGCAGTCAGCTACATTTTTTTTAACCTTTTTTCAGTTCTGAAAATCATCAGTCTGCAAAGTCAGCTGGAGCACCTGGAGACGCTGCTGTCACAAACCTACAATTCAAACTGTAAGTATCTCACCCAAGACCTCATGCTAGCATAGAGTGTCATAATGTCACTGTAGCAACTTGACATGTGTGTCACTTTCAGCTCCGAGCATGGTGATCATAAGGAACAATCTAACAGATGAGCTCACATTCAAGAGAGCCGAGCTACAGAAGTATATCAATGAGCTGAATAACAAGAATCCGGCTAATGCCAGATTAAGTAAGTCCAGAAATACACTTGGATCAATCTTGATTGTTGTGAAGTAGCCTAAAACATAATTCTATACACCCTGACTTTTGTATTTTCTGTAGTTCTGGTTATCACTGAACTCTACAAAAATCTCAAAAGAATTGAAAAAGAAAATCGTGACGATAACGCAGCATCGTCTTTAACATTAACTCGTAAGTATGTCCTACAATCACTGTATCACTTCAAGCGAAATGGGCCTTCATAGAGCGAACGGAACAACATTCATGCCACATGCCTGAGATCGAAAGCTGTTTGCTGCAGGATGTTCATGTTGCTAATTTGCATCATAGTATTTCAGTCCATTTCTTTTCTTTTTAAAGTCCATCAGATGTATCTTCAAAACAAAAACAGGGAATATGCTCTTATGAAGGATAAATTCGCAGGTGAGTTGATTTTGTTTTTCTGAATAAATCCATAACTAACAGTTTGTGTCAGAGAGACAGTTTTTGTTAACTTGATTTCCTTTTTCACTGAGCAGAGTTGGAGAGGCAACTGCAGTTAAAGACACATGAGTGCTCTGGACTCGAGCAACAACGAAACCGTAAGTTGCGAATCTGACTTCGACCTCAGAGTGTCTGAGACTGAGTTTTGATGTGACTGATTTATTTTTTATCAGAGCTGAAGACTGAAGTTGAAGATAAGATTGCAGAACTGAACAAGACGAAAGACTTCAAAACTGCTCTGCGTGAGTGCGGTGCAGTTAAAGAATCTCCTTTTTTTTTGCTCACATTATATTTCAGAACTAATCTGTGCCGTCATATCTGCTCACGTTTGTCTCTGTTAGTCCTGAATGTGATCAACATGAAGTCTGAAGTGAGGGCTTTGAGGGAGCAGATCTCAAACTCAAAAGATCCAGAAATCATCTCACGTGAGTATCAGCTGTCATAGTCAGCACACTTCCTGGATCAAAAATGTGAAACAAATATGACCTCAAGTCGTATATCTGTTTCTCTCTGCTTCCCCACAGAGCTGCAGATGCAACTGGAGACGAAGCAAGATGAACTGATTACTAAGACTGCAGAAATGGAGGAATTGCTTGCCAACCCGAGAGTGGGTGAGTGCACTGCTGTACTCTGTGATCAACACTGTTTAAACAGTCTGACAACCCGCTGCCTATTATTGCAATACTAAGCCTCTGGGGGCAATTGACAACATTTGGGGGCCAGGATTTCCTGCTCTGTGCGTTCTGTGCAGTAGATACTTTTCACATGGGGAGCTTATCTACTTGGAAAAGGTCTATAAATCAGTTAGTTTAATGTCTGCATGGTGTTAAAGAACAAATGATCTTGATGGGTGTAACTTTGCATAATTTTAGAAGAAGCTAACATTTGTAAAATCACTATCATACTGGGAAAAGAATGTGTTTCTGTCATGTTTTTGCAATTTGGTTGCACTGACACACATTTCCATTAAAAAATATCCCTCTAAATGACACAACCAAACCTTACCTTCCATTCATCAGATGTTTGTTTGTTTCAGTTTTACAAATCATTGAGCTCCAGAATGAGATATGGGACCTGCAGAACAAGGATGTTAATGGGACAGCTGGTGACCGGATAAAAGGTACTTTAAGGTTTAAGGTGCTGATTGAGGGTGACACAAAGTCATAGTAGGTGACTAAATGTTATTAATACAATTCACTGTTTTTTGCAGCGCTACAAAACAGAATAGACACACTCATGACTCAAATAGGCAGCAGTGATCGAGAAAACACCGAACTGAGTGAGTATGAAGTAACTGTGAGCACAGAGGTTCACTGACAAGTTGAATTTTCTTTCTTTTTGCCTTTTTCCCTCTCATGAAGTAATTCTCTCACAGCATGTCTTATAGCAAACTACTTCTTTTGCTTCTTTGTGCTTTAGCACTGAAAATCCTGAATCTGCAGAGTCAGGTGAAGCACCTGCAGAATCTGCTGTCAAACCGCGAGACTCTACAAACCAGTAAGCTAACTGGTAAGTATCTCCCATTGTGCTTTTCCTCTAGTG